AACATCTCAAACCCACCCAAAACCCATCCTAACCCACTCTAAACATCTCAAACCCACCCAAAACCCATCCTAACCCACTCTAAACATCTCAAACCCACCCAAAACCCATCCTAACCCACTCTAAACATCTCAAACCCACCCAAAACCCATCCTAACCCACTCTAAACATCTCAAACCCACCCAAAACCCATCCTAACCCACTCTAAACATCTCAAACCCACCCAAAACCCATCCTAACCCACTCTAAACATCTCAAACCCACCCAAAACCCATCCTAACCCACTCTAAACATCTCAAACCCACCCAAAACCCATCCTAACCCACTCTAAACATCTCAAACCCACCCAAAACCCATCCTAACCCACTCTAAACATCTCAAACCCACCCAAAACCCATCCTAACCCACTCTAAACATCTCAAACCCACCCAAAACCCATCCTAACCCACTCTAAACATCTCAAACCCACCCAAAACCCATCCTAACCCACTCTAAACATCTCAAACCCACCCAAAACCCATCCTAACCCACTCTAAACATCTCAAACCCACCCAAAACCCATCCTAACCCACTCTAAACATCTCAAACCCACCCAAAACCCATCCTAACCCACTCTAAACATCTCAAACCCACCCAAAACCCATCCTAACCCACATTAAGCTCATCCTAAACATCTCCAAACCACTCCAAACCCATCCTAATCAACCACAACCCACCCAAAACCCATCCTAACCCACCCTAAACATCCCCAAACCACCCAAAACCTGTCCTAACCCACCCCAAACCCATTCTAACCCACCCTAAAACCATCCAACCCCACAATAAACTCATCCTAAACATCTCCAAAACACTCCAAACCCATCCTAACTCACCCTAAACATCTCCAACCCACCCAAAACTCATCCTAACCCACCCAAAACCCATCCTAAACATCCCCAAACCACCCAAAACCCATCCTAACCCACATTAAACCCATCCTAACCCACCCTAAACCCATCCTAACCCACTCTAAAACCATCCAACCCCACATTAAACTCATCCTAAACATCTCCAAACCACCCAAAACTCATCCTAACCCATCTTAACCCACATCCGTTTTTGGGGTCAAATTTGGGGGTTTGGGGTCCAATTTTTGGGGCTGGGGGCGTTTCTTGAATGGGGGGGGGGTGGGGGTCCCCGCTCCCCATTTTTTGGGGGGGTCCCCCCTCATTTTGGGGGTCCCCCCCAATTTTTCCTCCATTTTATGGGGGGGTCCCAAACTTTCATTCTGGGAGGGGCCCAAACCCCAATTTTTGGGGGGCTCCAAATTTTAATTTGGGGGGGGTCGCGAACCCCAATTTTGGGGGGGGTCCCATTTTATTTTGGGGGGGGGTCCCCACGTTCCCTCCCCCATTTTTTGGGGGGTTCAACTCCGAGTCCGCAGGCGGGGGGGTCCCGCACCCCAAATTTTTTTTTTTGGGGGGGGGGTTCAGCTCCAAGTCCGTGGTTTTTGGGGGGGGGTCCCACTCCCCCCCCCCATTTTCGGGGGGCTCCTCTTCAGCTCCGCACGTGAGGGGGGGTCCCGCACCCCAAATTTTTTGGGGGGGAGCAGCAACAGGTCCAAAGTCCGGGGGGGTCCCGCACCCCAAATTTTGATTTTTTTGGGGGGGGTTCATCTCCAGGTCCGTGGTTTTGGGGGGGTCCCACCCCCATTTTTGGGGGGATTCCCCCCATTTTTGGGGGTCTTCATCTCCAAGTCCGCAGTTCGGGGATTGGGGGGTTCCCCATCATTTTTGGGGGGGGTCCCCCCGGTTTTTGGGGGGGTCCCCCCCATTTTTGGGGTTTTCCTTCCCATCCAACACTGATTTAGGGTGGGGGGTCCCCAATTTTTTTGGGGTTTCCTTCAGGTCCACAGGTCCGGGGGGTTCCACCACAATTTTTTTATGGTTTTCCCTCTTTTTTTTAGGGTTTTCACCATTTTTGGGGGGTTTTCACCCATTTTTTTTTTAAGGTTTTCTTCACAATTTTCGGAATTTTCCTCCACATTTTCCGGGGTTTCCTCAAAATTTTTGGGGGGGATTTTTATCCACATCTTTTGGGGTTTCCTTCACATTTTTCGGGGTTTCCTTCACATTTTTGGGAGATTTTCCTTCATATTTTTGGGAGGTTTTCTTCACATTTTTTGGGAATTTTCCCTCCTATTTTTTAGGGACTTCTCCCACAATTTTTGGGGGATTTTCCTCTATAATTCTGGGGGATTTTCATCCATATTTTTTTAGGGTTCCCCTCTTATTTTTTAAGGTTTCCTCCATGATTTTTCCACCCATTTTCCCCAGATTTTTAGGTGTTTCCCCTATTCTGGGGGGGATTTCCCACATTTTTGGGATTTTCAATTTTTCCCAGGATTTTTTCCCCACATTTTTTCCAAATCTTCCCCATTTTTGGGGGGACTTCTTCTCTCCTATTTTCTAGGGATTTCCCCCCAATTTTTAGGAGTCTCTTCCCCATTTATTTTTAATTTCTCCCCCATTTTTTAAGAGTTTCCCCACATTTTTTTTTCAGGTTTCTCCTCCCCATTTTTTAGGAGTTTATCCCACTTTTTTTAGAAATTTCCCTCATTTTTTAGGAGTTTTCCCCATTTTTTCACCGTCTCCCCCCGCCCCATTTTTTTCAGGAATTTCCCCTATTTTTTAGGAGTCTCCCCCACATTTTTTAGGATTTTCCCCCACATTTTTTGGGGTTTTCCCCCTCCTTTCCAGGAGTTTTTTTTCATATTTTTTAGGGGTTTTTTTCCCCACATTTTTTTGGGTTTTCCCCCTCCTTTCCAGGAGTTTTTTTACACATTTTTAGGGGAATTTCCCCCACATTTTTCGGGGTTTTCCCCCTCCTTTCCAGGAGTTTTTTTACACATTTTTAGGGTTTTTTTCCCCACATTTTTTAGGGGTTCCCCCCCACATTTTTGAGGTTTTCCCCTCCTTCCTTCCAGAAGTTTCTTCACAAACTTCTTAGGAGTTTCCCCCATATTTTTTTTTGTGGCATTTCCCATTTTCTCAACACCTCCCCCCCATTTTTTTTTGGGGGGCCATTCCCCCCACTTTTTTTCCAAGAATTCCCCCATTTTCTCATCATCTCCCCCCCATTTTTTTGGGGCCTTTTCCCCAAGAATCCCCCATTTTCTCACCGTCTCTCCCCCATTTCTCCACATCCACCTCCGCTCTTCCTCCAGAGTCTCCCCCACATTTTTTCCCCCTTTTTTTTTTTCCCCCAAAATCTTTTCCCGGGGGTTGGGCGGGCGGCTCGGGGGGGACAAATTCCACTTCCCCACCCCCCCAAAAAAAAATCTCAGATCTGCGTCTCCTGCACGTTCTCCTTGGAGGGGCTCTTGAAGAGCAGCGGCTCGTGCACCGAGTTGAGCAGCGGCGTCTTGCCGCAGCCCAGCGCGGCCGCGGGGCCCCCGTAGTGCGCGGCCAGCGCCGCGTACCTGTCCAGGTTTTCCTCCACATTTTCCGGGGTTTCCTCAAAATTTTTGGGGGGGGATTTTTATCCACATCTTTTGGGGTTTCCTTCACATTTTTCGGGGTTTCCTTCACATTTTTGGGAGATTTTCCTTCATATTTTTGGGAGGTTTTCTTCACATTTTTTGGGAATTTTCCCTCCTATTTTTTAGGGACTTCTCCCACAATTTTTGGGGGATTTTCCTCTATAATTTTGGGGGATTTTCATCCATATTTTTTTAGGGTTCCCCTCTTATTTTTTAAGGTTTCCTCCATGATTTTTCCACCCATTTTCCCCAGATTTTTAGGTGTTTCCCCTATTCTGGGGGGGATTTCCCACATTTTTGGGATTTTCAATTTTTCCCAGGATTTTTTCCCCACATTTTTTCCAAATCTTCCCCATTTTTGGGGGGACTTCTTCTCTCCTATTTTCTAGGGATTTCCCCCCAATTTTTAGGAGTCTCTTCCCCATTTATTTTTAATTTCTCCCCCATTTTTTAAGAGTTTCCCCACATTTTTTTTTCAGGTTTCTCCTCCCCATTTTTTAGGAGTTTATCCCACTTTTTTTAGAAATTTCCCTCATTTTTTAGGAGTTTTCCCCATTTTTTCACCGTCTCCCCCCGCCCCATTTTTTTCAGGAATTTCCCCTATTTTTTAGGAGTCTCCCCCACATTTTTTAGGATTTTCCCCCACATTTTTTGGGGTTTTCCCCCTCCTTTCCAGGAGTTTTTTTTCATATTTTTTAGGGGATTTTCCCCCACATTTTTTGGGGTTTTCCCCCTCCTTTCCAGGAGTTTTTTTTCATATTTTTTAGGGTTTTTTTTCCCCACATTTTTTTGGGTTTTCCCCCTCCTTTCCAGGAGTTTTTTTACACATTTTTAGGGGAATTTCCCCCACATTTTTCGGGGTTTTCCCCCTCCTTTCCAGGAGTTTTTTTACACATTTTTAGGGTTTTTTTCCCCACATTTTTTAGGGGTTCCCCCCCACATTTTTGAGGTTTTCCCCTCCTTCCTTCCAGATATTTTTTAGGGGATTTTCCCCCACATTTTTTGGGGTTTTCCCCCTCCTTTCCAGGAGTTTTTTTTCATATTTTTTAGGGTTTTTTTTCCCCACATTTTTTTGGGTTTTCCCCCTCCTTTCCAGGAGTTTTTTTACACATTTTTAGGGGAATTTCCCCCACATTTTTCGGGGTTTTCCCCCTCCTTTCCAGGAGTTTTTTTACACATTTTTAGGGTTTTTTTCCCCACATTTTTTAGGGGTTCCCCCCCACATTTTTGAGGTTTTCCCCTCCTTCCTTCCAGAAGTTTCTTCACAAACTTCTTAGGAGTTTCCCCCATATTTTTTTTGTGGCATTTCCCATTTTCTCAACGCCTCCCCCCCATTTTTTTGGGGGGGCCATTCCCCCCACTTTTTTTCCAATAATTCCCCCATTTTCTCATCATCTCCCCCACATTTTTTTGGGGCCTTTTCCCCAAGAATCCCCCATTTTCTCACCGTCTCTCCCCCATTTCTCCACATCCACCTCCGCTCTTCCTCCAGAGTCTCCCCCACATTTTTTCCCCCTTTTTTTTTTTCCCCCAAAATCTTTTCCCGGGGGTTGGGCGGGCGGCTCGGGGGGGACAAATTCCACTTCCCCACCCCCCCAAAAAAAAATCTCAGATCTGCGTCTCCTGCACGTTCTCCTTGGAGGGGCTCTTGAAGAGCAGCGGCTCGTGCACCGAGTTGAGCAGCGGCGTCTTGCCGCAGCCCAGCGCGGCCGCGGGGCCCCCGTAGTGCGCGGCCAGCGCCGCGTACCTGTCCAGGTGCTCCCTCTCCAACGCCGGCAGCGCCAGCCGGTTGTCCCCACCCGTCCCGGCGCCGGGGCCGCCGCCGCCTCCGCCCCCGGCGGGGCCGCCGGCCAGCTCGTCCTCGACGTTGACGATCTCCACGGCGCGCGCGGGGCCGCCGCGGTGCTTGTGGCGCTGGTGCTGCTTGCGGAGCTTGTAGAAGGCCACCAGCATGACGGCGGCCATGAAGGTGATGGCCACGAAGCAGCCGATGATGATCTTGGTGGTCTTCAAGACGTCGTCCAGGTCCTGGAGGCCGCCCCCGGCCGCCGCGCCGGCCGCCGCCGCCGTGATGGGCACGGTGAAGGGTTTGCCGGTGGCGCGCGTGGCCGGGG